TGCCGTTTACTGTATGAAAGTAGAATGGCGGCTTTCATTGCGAATTGCTGATAAAGCACATGAACTCCTTTCGTACAGATTTCATCTATGCTAATGATCTGATACCCATTTAAATGAATAACATTTAAAAGCATGAGAGCAACATGTTCGAAAGAGATCGAACAGAGTCATGAATAATTTTTTAAAATAAGAATTGCCGTTTGCCGTGATTATTTTGCATGAACAGTCCTTTCGATCAGTTTTTAGAAACTAGTACTCACCAAATAATAATGCTATGCAGGATGAAAGCTTTCATTAGCTCCTTTTGATTAGCTGATTTTGCCTACAGCACTGTTCTTTTTTCCGAATGAGAAATCTCCTCCTGTAACAACTTTTAGACAGCAAGCTGTTCTATTTATGCGGAGGAGGTGGATTGTGTCGTGCCGTATCCGTTCAGCAAGCGAAATAACACTGTCATAAACAGTCGGCACAATGGTCTTAACCTCGAGATTGTATATCTGTCCTGCAGATTTCGCGATTTCCTTAATAGCTCGTCGCCGGTGCCAAAAATCACTTTAGTTTTATGTCCACAATAGAATAAAATCAGTAATTAACACATCGCTGCCCCCTCCTGGTCGCATTCACTTCGTAGAAATAGAACAATCGATTGTTTATGCATGAAAATTTGCAATGATATTAAGGGTTTAAATGAAAACTGCTGGTCTTCGATACCGCCTGTGGCAAAATAACATTTTTTGAATAGATGCACGATCCCTTGCTTCTAGTGGACTGGGGAAACATTTAGCCGTTTTCGAAGGTGCTTATAAACACTTGTTTTAGTAATCTACTGAAATCTTTATCATTCCCATAACAGGATTTCTGCTCTCTTTCTAATTCATGATTGTCAGGTTCATCTGGGACGAGAACACAGTAAAACAACGAACCTTATGGCAAGAAAGAGCGGATTATCACTCTCAGTCGTGCATGATGAAATTGTTCATTAGCAAATGATAAACATAAGATAAGATATGGGGTAAGAATCAATTGTAGTAATGTATAAAATATAAGTTTAATACCTGCAGTGCATAGATGTGAAACCGCATCAAGGCCGAACAAAAACCTGTTCGGACACCTGCCAAAATATTACTGTTAGTAGACATTTTTATGCATGCATCGTAAGTTCTAAAGTACCATGAAGTCGTGGTCTGCTTAGGTGATCCTTTAGCGAACTGGAAACAAGGGGTCAGTGCGTCGTATAAATGAAAAATTATCGGAAAATGTTAATCGAGCGTTTGAATACTTGGATGCGAGAGAAGGCGGATCACTTTTGGCTTAGAAGCAGGTTTTGCTCAGTTTTTCTTGATCTTAATCATGATCTGCAAAAATCTGACGGTAAAGGATGTTTTACATGTCTCAGCGTGACACCTGTGAAAGAGGTGTTTTCTGGTGACACTTGGTAATGACTGTAATTCTTCAGTTTGAACAGGCAGTAAGCTCCATTACGTTGGCGATGTTTGTTTTACCCCGCTTGTGAATTCGGTCTC